TAGGCGGTCTGAATTGTTCAGTTAAGTTTCCCCAGCTTCCATCCGCACAATGGGTATGAAAACACCCCCCTACATTAACAGGCTTTTCTGAGAATAGGAATAGTACAGAACACCTGACAAGCCATACGGACACTTGAGAAGGGCAGATCAGGAAAAGACATGAAGGGCGATGAAGTGCAGTATTTCGCGGAGAAATCTGCTTTTGTAGAAAACGTTTCAAGCAACAGAAAGAGTACTTCAAGCACGCCAGTAAGGGCTTGCTGATTCTGCTCAGCGCATGGCAGAATTGATTTTAGGCTGCACTGAAATAATTCGGTGTTTAAAGGACCTGCCTGAAATTTCAAGTTTGTCATTGAAAACTCTTACTGTTGTTGTAATCCAGTAATTCCTTACTACTTGCACGAATACCACGCCTGTTAACTGGAGAGAAGAAAACAAAGGTGCCACGAAGCTGATCTTGTGAGAACAAAGTTTGACATGACACTATTTAACCAGATGGTGCCAAGCACAATTCCCAGTGCTCTGCTGATGCCTCCTGGAGAAGAACACAGAAAATAATTTCCTCATTTCCTAATTCACAAAGATCAAATCTAGCAGCGTCAGGAAAGCTGGGGTGCCTGCCACCAAATACTGAGGAGGAACTACATATGAAAGCAGGTTAACACCCTAACATGTATTTCCCTTGGTTGTCCTTCTTTTTACATAATATCCTTGGTCATGTAGAACTACTAAGCAGCTGATTCCGCTTAGGTCACTCAGTATGGCTCCAGCTGATTTCTGGTAGAGCAATTCTGATTTACTTTGCTGAAGCTCTGGCTTATAGGACTCTGTTAAACAGCCATCGGACCAGCAGAGAAAGGCTGGCTGCCTGTCACTTAACATGGAGGGCTTTGGACTCTCGTTGAAGGTTATTTGCCTGCAATATCCTCAACGGTCCACTTGCATTAGCTCTGTCTTTGTGAAAATTTCCTTTGAGAAGTGAGTCATTAAGCCAGTGGTGAATTCTTTCAAAATATAAATGAAAGATGCATTGAGTGCAATTCTCTAGATAATAATAGTTCTTGGAAAACTCAACCTCTTACCTCCTCCTACCCTTGTTTATTCTTTTCCCAAGAAAACTCTGTCATCAAAGTAGGCTAAGTTGAGATCTCTTTTTTAACTGATCCAGTAGTACACTATTTTTTACACGTTTTCTAGCAGAAAAAACCCACAGATACCTACTGAGGAAAATGAATATCAAGAAAAGTAGGTAGTGCTGCAGTTTCTGTTCCTAAGTAGGTTACCAGATTGACAGACTACTTCCTTCTCAGCAATTCATTATTTCAGGGCTTATTGTTTTGTTGTTGCTATTTTAAGCAAGATTGTCAGAACCTGTCTGCAAAGTGCAGAGTGTAAGTCTTCTCTACAGTATCATATCCCAATAATTGATTTTTAACAACCACTGGAGGCCTGAGGGAGCTGGGTGAAAAGAGTAATATAAATGAAATAGGCTACTATGTTAAACAGTTCTGTAAAATCCCAGCAGTTCAAACAATAGCCCCATTCCTGTAAATGTGCAACGTTGTGATCGGGACACTTGAAATTGCGCTTGCTTCTTTTATGACAAAGTGTTTAAAAAAACCAAATCTCAGAACCACCTGAGTGGCTCCTCTAAAAGGAAGAAAGATGAAAGGCAAAGATGATCTGCAGAAGATTTGCCAGTGGTGCAGTCTGTCACCTCCTCAAACGCTCACTGGTGCAGTCTGCGCTCTGCCGTGGGACATGGTGACCAGGCACAGAGCTGAGACACCGTCACCCCCACTGCGGACCCATCGAGTCATAGCACGCCAGCCTCAAATCCCATTTCCGGCCCTGAACACCTTGGGCACGTGCTCCTGAATGGCACCGACCGGCAGGGAAGCAGACTTCCCCAAAACAGTGCAGAGAAGAAACCTTTCACCTGCTTCACATACAACCAATTTACCAGCAGATGATGTTTTGTGATATTAATTCTGGCACCGACAGCACTCTGGGACCCAAATCAAGACCAGCAAGGTCCAAACTCCAGGGGAACTCAGGAGCTACGTGAGATAACGCAGGGCCAGAGTCCAGCAGGCTCGCTTCCAGCCAGCCACCCCGTCTGTTGAAACAAAAACCCACTTGCCGCAGAAGAGCCCAGGGGCTCTCTGGAGGCCTCAGCGCCCGAGTGTGGCCCCTCGGCACGTCACCCGGCTATCTTATCAGGTGCTTTTTGAAGAAAAACCCAGCAAACACTCTGTGTTCTGATATGGCAAGGGACGAGAGACCAGCCTGAGCGGCAGTTAGGATAGCAAGGGCAAACTAACAGTTTCATGAATGGAGAAAGATTCAATGTAAAGCTTAAAGAGAGGCAAATGACCGAAAGCAGTACATTTCAGAATGCTGTATGTCTCTCCTGTTGTTTTAATGGCAGTCAAACTGCTAAAACTAGGTAGAGGGACTTATAAAAGAACTTGCTGCAGCCTGCTTTAATATATCCTTCACTGAGGTTTCCACTGTAGCTATCCTGCAGGATTGCAGGACCCCCCCCTCCAAGTCACTGCATAATACAACACTGTTTAATGAGACTGCAATGTCTTTTCTTATATTGGCAACAGCTTTTACAAATTCATTCTTAAAATAAAATCTGAATTGAAGCTTCAACGTGATCTATTTATCTTTGCATTGCTCAGGAGAGCACAATACCACCTCAAGAAGCAGTAATTACCTCACCCTCTTTTGAACTCCTAGCAGTCCTAATCCAAACGTCCTGCAAAAGTGCACAAACATTACCAGCAGTCTCAGAGAGAAAACTTGCTCAGCATAGTGCACAATATCTTCCAAGGAGGAAACCAGCAGCAAAACCCGGAATGGAGCAAATCCCTTCTAGCTATGCCCCAGACCCCGAACACCTCTGCTGGCGGCAGCACACTGAGGCTGACCCCCGCAGCCCACTCATTTGCTCCTTTCATGAATGTTCCTCCTTTCATCCCCGGTCTCCTGCACGCACACACGCACGCACGCACACACACACACACGCACACACACACACGCACGCACACACGCGCACGCACGCACGCACGCACGCACGCACACACACACCCTTTTTGGAGAAATTGTCAACGGTCCCCTATAACCTTCGCATTTGACTCTTTCCAGGCTTGCTTCTGCGGCAGCATCTCCACACAATTAGCCAATTATGACAGCTAATTAGTCATCAAAACCAAAGAGGCTGACCTCTCGCCCTCTTCACTGTACCATGCTGTGCGTTAGCTCTTGCTGAGCAAGCAGCACACAGAGGTGGAAGTTCGACCTTCTCTCCTCAACCCACTCCCTGCTCTCTTTCACCCCTCATAAATGCAGCACTTCATAAGAGGGCCAGACTGCAAATAACCTTGGTATTTCCAAGCAGTGCAGCTGCGAGTGATGGCTGCAGGGCTTCTGGAGTGAGGTCGGACACGGAACATCCTAGACTTCCATGGAGACTCCTTTCCCCTGCCTTCATTTTCTCTCTTTGCAGCTCCCCAGCTTGGTATGTAGGGGCAAACAAGACTACCAGCACAGCATGATAAGGATTAGGACGCTAGAGGCTCTCCAGGCTGTTCAGCCCTCCCTTAGAGCTAAGCAGGAAAACACCACACTAAAGGAATCATACACCTTTGTCCTGAAAGCCCTCCTCCAGAGCCTGCGATGTGGTAGGAATAAAGAGTGAGGGACGAATAAACTTGTGCCTGCTCCTATCTCTTTTCATCCCTAACTCAAAACTAAGCCCACCGGGTTCTGTCCCGGGTGCTCATAGGACTCGAAACCCCCAAACTAGCACTAACTGCTCCCCGCTCTAAAATATAAGTTGTCAGTGGAGCAGTTTAGCTTTCCTAGAGATGCCAGACACGTGATTTCACCTCGATGCTCTCTAGTTCATGTAGTTCCCTAATGGAGTTCTGTGAAAACATCCGTTCCTTTTTTCCACTTTTGTGCTCTACAGCGCAGCTCAATGAATTAAGTACTCCCTCAAATTAGTCACTCCACACAGACAGTCTTTTCAATCACAGTTAAGCAGTTATCACCTCAGCATTTCCACCTGGCCCATCTCTAGCTTTAAAGCAGGCCTTCCTTCTCTTCTCTCTCAGGGCAGAGCTACATAGAAATTCACAGCTCGCTCTTCAGTCCTAGGCTGTTCCCTTTGTGTTCTCCCCAGTCCTGTAAACTAAGGGCTAACTTCACCCAGAAACAAGCTTGTGCAACTGTCTGCTAGAGTGCTCCCGTGCACAAAGTGGGGTCGGTCAGGAAATACCATTTCAGCTGATAGTGAACAGACAGGCAAAACTCATTACCTATCAATAAGACACACACACACAGACACACACACACACACACACACACACACACACACACACACACACACACACACATGCGTGCGCGAACGACTTGAGTACTTTGGCCAGAGCTGAGGGTAACCTGCTACGCAACTCTGCTCAAGTCATTTCACACCTCTGCCCTCTACCACTCTGTCTGTCACCTCTCCTTAGGCTGCAAGCAGTTCGAACTGCCAGGGTTTGGACTGCCTAACGCTCAGTGTCAGTGAAGGCACAGCTTTAGGCTGCTGTAACATAACAACAACAATAAGAAGCAGATCTGGAACCACCTCAGCAAACTCAGGGTGAAAACCGGTGCTGTGTGTCCCCTCAAGCAGGTAAGGAGAGGGAGGCAAAGAGGACACTGTTAGCACTCCTAAGCACACATAAATTCGCCCTCATCACTCAGCGGCTTGCTACTGCCTAATACTGAAATTTTGATAAGTGCCAAACATTTTGGAGGTCAAACAGCTATTTATGCAAAGTGAACCACAGGCAGTCAGCTGACGAGGAAATAAACAGAAATTACTCTTTGCCTCTATAAACAAAACAAGAGCTGGGAAAATGCCAAGTCACTTGAGAGAACAAAAGGGGTGATTAAAGCGGGTCACGACGACTGTCATATATGTACTTATCTTAAATCCCTACCTCATGCCCTCTGTCTTGCACAGGACATGATTCACTGTCTGCTTCTGAGAATGACCCAGACTCATCGCTGGAGTTTGTTCCATAGGATGGCTCACATTTAATCTGGGCTCGCACCGGGTTGTACATTCCATCGCCCACCACGCCGGGCTCCTGGTGCTCGGGTGCCAGGAACCGCGGGCCTTGGGAGCAAGGGGAGGAGGAGAGCTCGCAAAGACGCAGGCTACAGGGCGAACCGCCGCTGCCGTCCTCCGCGTACGAGTAGGAAGAGCACGAGCTGGAGGTCCTGGTTCTGGTTTCCAAAGGAGGAGAGCGAGGGCAAACTTTAATTGGCACTGGACAGCTGGTGTTCGGCCGCATCCTTCCCGGCAAGTGATCAGCTGTCAGTCCGCTGTGGGAATAGGTCTGAGAGCTAGGGAGAGATTGGCTACTGCCAGCCCACAGACCCTTTGGCACAGTCTCAGTGAGGTCTTTGTCCAAGCTGCTCACACCAGAATATGAATGCACCGAAGTGTTTACTTGGTCACAAGCATTTGAAGAGAATATAACACTCCTCCTGTCCAGTTCCCCTTCCTGCTTACAGAGAGTTTCAAAACCAGGCCCCCTGAGAGGCGATCCCACCGTGAAGTTGGAAGCATCCTTCTGAATGGCATGGGACTGCCCGTAGTTCCCCGTGAAAGGGACGTAATCAGTTTTGTGGTCACCCTGAGTTGTCCCTTTTTCAAAAGGGCATGCTGGACTCCTGCCAAAGTGCTGTTGGGAAGTGCTGGGGAAGCCAACCAAATCTACGCTTTTTGTTCTGTTGAAGAAAGACCGCAAGCAAGAAGGAGAGGACCCACTTTTATTAGGCCTGTCGACACAAGTGGGGCTTGGCTGTTTCCTGTCCATTTCAACATCCCCTTCTTTATCCCTGATGTCAGGTTCATCTCCAGACAGGCAAAGTGTGATGCTTTCTTCATCGTTCTCTTCATTCTGAGGCTCGCTTTTTATCTGCCCCATAGCAAGTCCTGATTTGAGGCCATTTCCAGAGCTCTCTTCGCTGAATGTGCTTGCAAAACCTGAGGTACTGATGTGTGATGTGTTGTAGACATTCTTGGTACAAGCAAGCTGGTATTTCTTGTATCTGGGGTACCGTGTTACTGCATCTTTGTCCAAATTGTCCTTGGTATCTCTCAGCATGTCAGAGTCAGGCAGCATCCCTTCTCCTTTGTCTGCTCCAGAAACAGTGGTTTCAAAATTGAAGGGCTCTTGGTGCATTCTCTCTCTTGGGCAAGATATTTTTGACGTCTCCGATTCCATTGTCTCTTCCTCGTCTCCATCTGAGTTCTCTTCATCGTGCATGCGCTGACAGGTGGTATCTTTTTTGCACAGAAACAGGCCATCCTCATTGTTCAGCAGCTGTGTCTGAAGGAAGCTGAAGCAGGAATCCTCCAGGTTGTGCATACGCAGGAATTCAGCACAGTGGATGACCTCTTGGATGTTTTCTCTGCTGAGTAACAGCTTAGCAGTGTAGGCAAACTGTAACAATGGACCAAATCCCCTGACAGTGACCTGCAAAAAAAGAGAGGGACATTGCCAGCATTACCATCAGTGCTTGCTATATCATCCCAAGTCCTTCATCAAGTGTAGTTAGGCATCCCTACAGATCTAACATTCAGAAATAAATATAGTACCAGTTATTCTTCTGTCATCAGGTTTATAATGGTTACCTCCACTAACTAACACTGCATACCTTCTGCTGCTTCTGTACATCATTGTATGCGTTGAGCTGAACACTCTTTGGCAAAATAACTCAAGGGCCTATGAACTAAGCCTCTACTGCAATAAAAAGCTTAACACACAGGTAAGCGTAAAAGGCTAATTCTTGGGTGGATCTTTTAACTATGATGCACGTTAACGTCTAAATACCAATTGAAATTTGATTCTTCTGCCCAAGTGGAAGCTCTGGTGAACACTGGCTTTGAGCTTAAGACACCACTTAAATGCAAACAGTGTTTTGGGAAGGAAACATCTAATAGTATATAAAAACTCAACAGAATTTTTTTTTTGCCACTTTCAGCAGCAGACCAGTTCATTTTTCTTTCAAATTTTTGCAAGTCATTAGTGAATAAATAATAGGTATGTCCTGACTGCGTAACTCTTTTCTCCATCCCATGGAGATTATTTCTCCTCATACTATTTCTGATTTTCGTGAATCTACACTGCAGCAGACAGGAAAGAGATCCAAACCCATGGCCCCAGTGACACAAGCCACACTGCGTCCCACCTTAGCACATAATTTTCTCTCATTTTCTTTGTAGAAAGAATAACAATTATTGTCAGGACGGTGCCTGGGCCTGAGCGATGCGCTGCTACTTGTCCTTTCTTGTTATCGCATCATCTACCCTATATTTTACATTCACTTAATGTCTTATACGTACTGATTTATACTTTCTTCCTCCTGATTTTTTACAGTGGTATGTCCACGCATAACTACCAAATAACTTGCAGAGCCATGCAGCAAACTATAACTATTGTCCATTTTTGACTGCATTGGCGTCTATTTCTACTACATACTTTTTTCCAATGTGGAGAAGACAAAGGTACCAGAAAAACTCTCTTCTTCACGAAGCAGTGATGGAAACAAGGTTTGACATATCAAAATCATTCCAGAACCGGATAAAGAGGTTTTATCATCAACAAAAAGGAGTGAATTCCAGCTTTTCTAATACCAATCCTTCATCTTTGGCCTCTGTGAGAGACTATTTCAAAACAGGGCTCGCAGTCAAGGATAAAAGTTTCTTTCTCCATGAGGAATTTCCGTGCTTTGGCCACTAAGTTGAGATTTGGGAGATCAGCACTCAATTTCCTGTTGCACCAAAGACCTCTCATGCAACCCTGGGCAAGTCCCTTCAGCCTCGATCCATGAAGAAACCTTCCTGCCTTCCTTGCAGAGTGGTACTCACAAATCTGGGTTCCCTGTGCTTTGCATACCGTGGAAAGGAATCCAGATGGGATTGAGAGCAGCCAGACAACTAAACCAGTCAACGGCGAACGTGGCTGGCACCTACATGCCTACCTGTGCGTCTACGTAAGATTGAGGTGAGCAGCCTGGAACCTCCTCTCCTGCAAGTGCTTTTGGTAGGGGCTCCCAACTCAATTCTTTCTTTTAAAACATGAACAGGATGAGAAAGTACTGCTGTCCCTTTTTCATAAAGTAGCCTGAAGACTGGAATAGGGACCTGGAAAGTAGGAGACCAGGTCCCTGCCTCAGCCTGTGGGGATTCAGAATAATATTTCCCAGCCCCTCAGAAGGATCCTCTGTCCAGAAGGGACAGGATAACCTGAAGATGAGCTGCTTTTCCCCATCCCTCCAATTGAATTAACATTGCTGAGCAAGAAATAATGCAGAGAGTGAGAAAGATGCTGTTCAGCCACTGCTAAAGCCCCTTCTCGAAAAGAAGACTTTGAGCTTCTAGTCACCGCTCCTAAAGCTTAATTAAGGCAAAAGGCATATGGACTGGAATATCACATTCCTGCTTCTGCAGAGGGCCATAACCAGTATGCCGTGGAATTGCTCTGCCTCCCAAAATTCTGTATTTCCTGCTGTCAAGGGACTTTAAGAGGGTCAGCAGAGGATAGTTTTTGAGCCCAACTGCCACAGCTGGTGGTCAGCATGAACGCAGCACTGAACGTAGTTTCTCACCGAGAGTCAGCTTTTCCCCACACACGCATGCAACTGGGCTTGGGTATATACAGACTGTTTAATAGGTTGGTGAGGTATAAGACTGTGAATTTATGATGGCCTTATTCATGAATGGCAGAAATGTCACTGCATAGTTTGGTTCATCACAGCAAAAAGCCTATGAATTCCTTACATTGCCTCAGGACCAGTGGTACAGATCATAGATTTTTATAAAAAATCCTGACTTCTAGAAACAAGTCATTTTTATTCATAGATCTGTACTTGTGATGCTAGATTGTGAAGATAGCGCTAATGGTGCAGACTTCGATGGAGAGGAAAATATTTTAAAACACCTCTAAAATCGCTCCCGATAGCTTTTCCATATATAATGTTACTGCTGTATCTGCTATTTTAAGAAACAGCACATTTTCATGCACGTACTTACACACTTGCACATTCCTGTTTTACAATATGCCTCTGGTACAGAATTGCCTAGATTTACAGCTGGCTATTAAACCAATCTCGGCTTTATTGTTGCAACATGTTCTGCCTATTTGTTAGATTATCAACTCACTGAAAGCCTATCTACATTTTATCTATGCAGTATGATTAAGAAAATTACTCAGAAACTAAATGAACTACTCATAGGCCAATGTTTTTCTCTGATAAGATTTTCAGTACGGGAACTTACATATTACTACACATCTTGTAAACGCAGCAGCAATGTAGGTCCATGAGAGCACTGATAAATACCGTCTTGGGGTTTTGAGTCTCCTTTGATTAGAAGAGACTCTGTGGAATAAAAGACCAGTTCTCCTGGTAGTTGTGTAACTTGGCCACTAGGTGGAATGGCTGCAAAGGAAATTAAAACGGTTCTCTGTGCTGGGTTACGGTTTCACCCGCCTCCCCACCGCTCTAGTGCAGATCCTGCAGTGAGCCTCCGAGTGACTCACACTGCTCCTCCGGAGCAAGGCTATCTTCCACGCTGACTCAGTTCTTTGGTCCCAATAAGCCTAAATGATAACAAGCAGCATCAAGACATCTGTTACATCTGCTCTGGGCTGAATACATTAGAAGCAGAGCTCTCACAGCCCGGAGACGGACCCGGGATGCGGTTTCCCGTGACGCCCAGCAAATGCCTCAAAACAACGGACAACGGCACCTTGCTCTAGCTACGATTGACACGCGCCATCTTACATGGTTGCACAACTTCTCTCACGTTCACAGTATTCAAACAGATACAGAGGACGAAAGTTTCTTTTCAAGTACCGCAAGGAGCGCGTTGTTGGCTCTAAGAATTGCCCTCAGGGAGGAATCTCTGAAGTGGCTCCATTCAGAGCCAATGCTTAAAACTATATAAACAATAACTTTGATAATAAATGGATGCTAAGCTTACTGGCATGTGTTAAAACTAGCAAAATCTCAGTAGCCTGAAGCTGTCTAAATATTGATTTGGCCTCCACAGTAGGTCCACTGTCTTAGTCTTGCCAGCTTTGGGACTGCCTGTTTCTGATTCATTCTGACAAGAATTCAAGGCACTGGAGTGCACTCATAAACACTGCACATTTTGAAAGGAAAGGTTTCAAAGCTGCGTGTATTACAATTACACGTGCATTTCTGTAGGAAGAGGAAAGAACAGCCTTTTAAAATGATTTAACCTGACTGACGCATCCCAGTGAAAACAGTGAGTGAAACCAAGTTGATTTATGTTTGCAAAAGGAAATGGATCATTTCTCTGATGTAAGAGCCTCCATTTACATGCGAAAGAGACCTTCGCTGCATGGGTAAAACATATGGCAACAACAATCTCAGTTTATTTTTTTCCCCCTATTGTAAATAAGATGCCAAATTTCCAGGACTTATTTCCTTTTAAATCTGATCTTCCATGCAAATTACTGTTTAGCTAGACCGGCTAATTTGTGGGAACCTCCACTGGGCACCTCGTCCAAGCTGATTTATCAAGTCCCTGCTTCCCTGTCCTCTAACCATTTGCATTACTCCTGGATACCCATTTCTATTGCAACACTCATGTGAAATCGACTGGCTAAAAAAAAAACAGGCAGAGAAAAGAACACATGTACATGCAAAACAGAATAAAATCCACACAGACAAGAAGAGCAAAGCAAAGATCTCAGCTTCTCAGATGCATTCTTTCCCTTATCTTTCACCCGCTGGCCGTCTTTCAGGTGGCAGAGAGGCAGGCCAGGAGAGGAGTTCTCCTGTGTATTTGAAGCATGCCAAAAAACCTACTAAGTCTATGGAATCGCTTTATTTTGTCTTGCTAGTGTCACCAGCTGGTCTTGTATGCATTAAAAAGCCTTCTGTACACCTAATGCATGAAGGATATGAATATCACAGCCCTAACCAAGCCATCTGGCACATTACTCACTCTACAGTAACCCAAGTTTTCAAGCACTCGAGGTTTCACCTTCAGTTCCCACATCTGCCATGCTGACATAGGTACCCCACGCTCAGCACGCAACATGGAGGTCTGCATTAATTCAGCATTATGATGCTATGAAGCCTGACCCCTGGTAAGTTTAAAGAAAAGAACGTATCAAGCTCTCCAGGCCTTTATCTGCCAACTGTCTTTCAGAGTAAGCTAGACAAACCAGGGACGTGTTTCGTATCTCCATGCCCTCATGGCTTCATGGTACTCGGGAATGGGCTGGGAATAACACAACGATATAATCGCCATCAAAAGAGTGGTTAATCAGCATTAGCCATATTGAATTTACTGGCAAAGTACAGACAACAGCCTTGTAGAAAATAACCATGCACAAGTCTGACACTGCTTTTCTCCCTGCTGAATCCTGTAGAGTGTGATGCTCTGTTTAGTTTTAATTGATTTAAGTGACCAGACTTCCACTACTTCCTTTGGGAGATT